TCATCCCGAGGTGCCAAGGTCGGATCGTGACCCAGCTGCAGGTTCCGTGGGGGACCCCGCTGGGATGTATTAACAGAAGCTCTCCTGTGAAGTTGTGTATTCTGAGATTCTGGCCAGTTCTGAAAAGATGCCGGAGGGCAAGGTGGAGAATGGATGCCACATTCGTCTAATCTGAAACCTGGTGAGGTTTTTTTCCCCCAGAGTTAAGTTCTATGCCTTGGTATCCAAGACTCCTCAGTCCTATCAGGACAAATTGAGGCATCTGTTGATGACAACACATGACAACAAATTTCCATAAGTTAAGCAAATACTGGGAAGAGTCAATTGATTTATAGCACAAATGAGTGCGTGTCCATATGAACGTCTTCCGGGCCTGGCAGAGAAGGAGACAGTGAAGGGCAAGGCTGACCTTTCTGGAAGACAAGAACTCCATGCCTCTGGCCACTTGAAAACTGTAAGAAATCAGATCTTCCATAGTGATGGGCTGCTTGTAGAAATCATCGGAATCTGGAAAGCATTAAAAGCGTAACTGTTTGTAATGGCTCTTGTTACCTACCAAATCCCTGTTTATTGGAACAATGTTAGCAAAACAGAAAACAAACCAACAAGCAGATCAGAGTTCAGTTTCAAGAGCATTGGAGTTTCAACATGAATATCCGAGATTTTTCCAGGCCTCCAGCCCATTTTACCCAAGGATGGGGGCGGGGGATGATCCGTCAAGACAAAAAGCCCTGAGGGGAGACAATTGTACAGTTCCCCGTCAAAATTAGTAACTCTGTAAATAATCTTAATTCAAATCTTATCTCCTCAGGACATTACCCTTCAAGTCTCCCACGGATGTTTATTAGGGTGATAAATAAGAAAAAAATTTCAGAGATGCACAGTATGTTGTAAAAATATCTCAGACTGTAGGACAGGAAGGAATTAATACCTACCCTCCTCTTCCTCAACATCACTCAGACTTTTATCTTCCTGAAACCCAGAGCTTGCGAAGCTCTCACTGCTGGTGACACTATCTAGTCTTGGTTTCTTGTCTTGCTCCGGGTCTGGCTCCATTTTTTCTTTCTTGGGCTCCATGTGTAATGCGGCATCCTTTGAACAGACCAAGAAGGACACGGAGAAAAAGAGAGTTCCAGAACAGCAATGAGGAAACTAAGCCCTTAGGCTGGCAGTTGCCTGAGCTGAGAGAATGTCATTGCACAGAACGGATAGATAGCAAATTGGTAGCAAGGGCCCTGTGGCACTCAGGTGCCTGGTTCTTCCTGGGTTTCTAGAGTCTGGTTCTGCTTTTCAATGGGCTTCTAGACAGCATCTTAGGTAGGATAAAGAAATATTAATGGTGCTCACTGAGTGCTTACTCTGTGCGAGCCGGTATACTAAGCATCTTACATACGTTTTCTTATTTAATCTTTCTAGCCATTTTCTGAAGTAGTTCTTGCTTATATGTGAAGAAAACGGGTTCAGAGGAGTCAAGGAATACAAGTCACATGCAAGTGGTAAATGGCAAAGCTAAGACCCAGGTCTGGCCAACTCCAGTCCATGCCCTTGACCACGTTTTCCATACCGCCCGCCATCTTGTGAAAGACGATCTGAATAACAGAAGTCAATCCCTAGCGGACGTAGGGCTTCCCTTGACAGAATCCCTGTGGGTAATGGGAGAAGGCTGTGGTTCTCAATTTCTCTCATTTGTTTGGGGAAGGACGGCACGTGAACATTTCTTTTTCTCCCCTCCATTCAGAGCAAAGATACAGTTTGATCCTAATAAGGGCAGAAAAGGCCTTTCATCCTGGACTGGACATCCACGCCCTGGTTTGTAATCTGGCTCCTCTATTTAACCATGTGATATTGGGCAAATTACCTAGGTTCTGGGGGTCCCATTTTCCTCACTGGAAAAGCTCCATCAGCTTATCGTGTAGGTGGACTCCTCGGAAAGGAGGTGCCGGGTTGGGGTGTTCACGTGGAACCAGAAAATACTTCTAGCGTCTTTGGGAATTCAGCTCATAGCCGGGACACTGCAGGCTCAGCTCCCGGTGACCCTGTGGCGATGTGCTCGTGTCGTGCGTACCTCGGCGCGGTGATGCTAGCTGGCTATACCGACCCAGGGGCGGAGAGGGGCCTGGGCTCGGTGGGGTCCCTTCACGCACCTGCACGGCGCGCCGGTGCGGGGGCAACTAGCCAGGCAGCCTTGCGTGGCCTTTCCTAGAACTGTCACCAAGTAGGAGAGATCTTTCCACTAGAGGGCGCAGTGGGAGTAAACAGCCGCCAGAGGAAGGAGCCACGGGGGGGGGGGAACGGAGGGGGACAGACTCCGTGGGGGGGTACGGGGCTCCTGACCCCTGGCCAGGGAGCACTGCGGGCGGGTCGGAAGGCCTCAGCACAGGTACCCAGTGCCTGACAACAGGTGAACTAGAATTCCTTGTTATTGTGTCTCCCGGAGGCAGTTAGAGTTGGTTCTGCTCAATCGGGGACTGACATTTTCTTGGTTACAAGGCCTCTCCTGGGGACACACAGGCAGCGGGGGCAGCGGCACTGGCAAGGGTATGGGGAGGAACGGGTTCAACAGATCTGCTCGTGGCTCAGCCCCCGGCAACACTCTCCGGGCAGCCTTCTTCCTCATCCTCCCAGGGGTGACCCAGCCTGGGCACCTGGGTCTGCAGGGACCAGAAACTCGAGCTGCCTCACCCCCTCCTTGACTCCCAATCTATGCTCCACTCAGCTTTGCTTATTGGTAACCACCTCCGTGAAATAAATAAAGGTCTAGGTACCGAGCTTTCGGGACTCTGGCAGAATACGGTGACATTTATTACAAAGAGTATTCAACGATCCTGGGGCATCCGTTTGGAAAATGAAACATCCCGTTTCGGGTTTTCCCTTCACTGTCTCTTTATATTCCTTTACCTTCCGAATATGAAATACGGACATGTGTTTTCCACGAAAACGCGAAGTTCCACCAACAGGGAGGCGACTCATTAAAAATAGCCAGAGTAGGAAGCAAAGCTTTCCAAACAAAGGATGCACAGACCCGAACGTTCCCGCCCTGCCCGGGTCCCTGGGGTGTGCCGTTGCCTTAGTTCTTTTGAAGCCAGTCCAGGACTTCGGGACTGAAGGGACTTTGCACTGCTCTCAGCCCAGGCCACCACTTTCCCCTTTTTCTTCTGGTCTCCCCCCCCTCCCCTCCCCCCGCCCCTTCTCCCCCTGCTCTTCCCCCCTCTCCCCGTATATGCTGGTAGGGCACAAAAAAAGCTTTGCATGGGGGAGTCCAGAGAACTGGGATTTTTCTCCCCGACTTCACCTCTTGGAGGGTGAATCACTAAATCACTACAAGTCAAGCGAATCGTAAGCCAATCACTTGACGTCTCTGGGCACATCTCTCATGGGAGCGAGTGAACTAGCTGACCACACGCATCCTTTCCAGCTTCAGGATCCTTTGTTTGAGGTAATCTCTACACCCCACGTGGGGTTTGAACTCAGGATCCTGAGGTCAAAAGTCACAGGCTTTACCTACTGAGCCAGTGAGGTACCCCTTCAGCTTCAAGATTCGAATTATTAGAGCGCGTGATTTAAAACCGGGAACACTATGTTCTTGTATATATGGTTCCAAGTAGACCACCTATGTCTTTGGTTGGGTCAGAGTTGGAGGGATGAGAGAATCGGCCAGTTGTCTGGTTGTTCTCATCCGCCTGTCCACGTGGCAGGTGGGTGTAATTCTTGGAGGTGTGGCACTTTATCCGTCATACACATCAGTGGCATTCAGCGGGATTCTCATCTTTCTATCTCGGTGGGCCAGTGATGACAGGGATAGGTAACACTTTGGGAATGCGTAGTTCAATAAAACAAATGTGATTCCCTCAATAGTGCCATGAGTTGGGTTCTGTTATTACCTCCGTTGAATAAATGAGGGAACTGAGATTGAGGGACTGAGTAACTTGTCCAAGGTCCCAGATTTTGAGCGGTGGAGACGGACAGGATGTATGATTCCAGAGTCTGCGTGTGAAACCACCACCCCGCATAGACTCATCACCAACGCTGCTGATCATCGGTTAATAATGTTGAACTATTGCTTCCCCAGCTGCTCCAGCCCAGAGAAGGACATGACACTGGGGGAAGGGGTCACCCCGGCCAAGTTTTATTATACCCTCTCCGCCATTCAATAATCTTTTAAGTTTTGTTTGCCTTCAGGACTTAAAGCCTCGCGTCCCTTTTGTTACGTAGCTTTATTTTAGTGCGTCAGGCTGGCTCCGTGTGTGTGCGGAGCTGACGTGCGTGGTGAGGGTTTGGGGAAGGCAGAGTCAGGGCAGAGCAAGGGAAGGAAATGATTTCTCTGGCTCCATCACTGGCCTCTCGTTCACTAAAAAGTCACTCAGTTGATTGAGGCCTTAATTTCTCTAAAAAAATGGAGACAATTATACTTGCCATCACCTTTCAAGAAACCAGTCACCAAGTGATGTGTGCGTGCGCGTGTGTACGTGTGGAGAGAGAGAGGAAAAAACCGATCAAGATGCTTAGATAGGTATTTAGGTAGATGGCTGCTAAAGTTTAACCTCTATCGCTGCACATGCTGGGATTACCTATTCTCTGTACTGCCCACAAAAAGTGTGACATATTAGCATGCAAGGAAAACTCAAAAAAGGAACAAAGCAGAGATTGGGTGCTAAGCTTGGTCATTCGTGGAAAAACAGAGGTTTCTCATGCTTTAAGCTGCTATAGCCTAAACCTCCCAACCCTAAGCTCCTTACCTTGTTGAGAAAGAATAAGTCTCGTTTGCTCTTGAGGTAGTTGGACAGATTTCCGTATTTGCAATATTCAACGATCACCATCAGAGGCCCTGCAGGTCCAAACAGATGGCTTATCACTTGTCAGTTCTCCACGGTGATGGAGGCGCGGCCGGCTACGGCTGGGTCTCTAGCTGGAGCCTCCCGGCTCTTGGCTGCTTTCTGTACCCACGGCTCCTCGGAACGGGTACGTCTACCCAACTGCCCTTCACCTCTACTCCTTTTGTTGAGCTTAGATAACACTCATGTGCACGGGTCTCTTGCATCTTTCTTTCTGGCTTAAGCGGCGATCACACATCTACACGCGAGCACTAACCTTGCATAGGGGAAGACCGAAAGGTCTTCAGGAACATGCTGGAGTCCTCAGTCATCCCCACTGCCCTATCCCGGCTGCTTGCCTCAGTGGAGAAAACCTGTCTGAAGGGAATGGCCCTTCTGGTTGTCCCCTGCATCGCCTCCTCCTGAGATCCTCTCAGGAGTGATTCCTTTCTCTATGGGAAGCTTCAAGGAATCCTCAACCTTCTGTCCATTACCTCAGCTCTGGCCACGTCCTGAGAGAAAAAATGCCCTTCACTTGACCTGGAGCCCACGGGAAGGGTCTAAAAGGGAATCCTTCTGTTTAGAACCTTTCAATTGACTGTACAGGGAAGGCATTTCTAGGATGGGGGCACCTTTCTATAAGTGGACAAGTTGTCTCCTCTGACCTGAGAGGCTATTTTTCAGGAGGAACGAGGAGAAAGAGCTACATGTCAGACTCTGCTCTTAGGATGTGAATGGAGAGAGGGAGCGGTCCCTCCTTCTCATTTACCTCCTTGCTTGGTACAGGCTCCCAGCAGGTTGACCACATTCAGATGGTGGCCAATGTGGGTCAAGATCTTGAGCTCAGTCATCAGAGCTTTGTACTCGCTGGCCGTGGCCCCCTCTGTGTGAGAAACAAGGAAGAGTCAAGGCGACAGGACAATGGGGCTCTTTCCGCTGGAGGCGGCATTCCTGCCCCCCATGCTTGCCAACGCTCAGACGGTTGCTTCACTAACTTCCCCACATTCTGCAGAAGGGCCAGGTCTCCAGACTGTTTTCATTACTCCCTCCCTCCTGAGCCAACATCCTTTTGATTACAGTAAGCCCCAGAAGCAGTGGTGGGGTTAGTCACTGGGCATTTCCTCTTGGTGGACCTGGTCTGCTCAGCAATGCGCTGACTCAGAGCTGGGCACCTCGTGAAAGCGCCTTCCAAAGGCTTCCGCTCTGCAGAACCAGGCGCAGCAAGAACCTTCCAGACAGGGGATGTGCCCACACCTCCCCTCTTTTTCTCACTTTCCCCTCTTTGAAGAGTTACAAAGAAGGAGCACCAGGGGTCTGCAAGAGTGGAATGGCCACTTCTGTAAACATCTTTGCATGTGTTATTTTCTCCCTATAACCTTTTCCTCCCTAGAGTCTGCAGGGTTATCTCAAATTGTGAGGATCCATAAGCATCTGCCTTCAACTCCATTCTCAGAGATAAACAACATCAGTCTAAGCATTAGCAGAGTCTAAAGCCTAAATTAAGTTTGTTCTGTCTGTTTTTTCTTTTCTTTTTTTGGTCTTTCTTATTGGTTAATCCGTAAGACTTTACAAAATTTAAACAATAAAGTCCTACAATCTTGCTGTAAAATATTCCAACAATATGATGTATATAGAGTAAAAAGTGAAAGCCACTCCAACCACATACCTCCCTAGGTAGACCTTTCTCTATGTATTTACAAACATATATACCCACATAAAGGTCTTTTTTTGTTTACATGAGTCATAAAATATATATATATATATATATTTTTTTTTTTTAATTTGCTTTTTTAATGTGTCAGAGACTTTTCCAATTCTTGTTAGTTGATTAATAGCATTCCTGGCATTTGAACGGCCTCCAGTTTTTTTTTTTTTGTTTTCGTGTGTGGTTTCTTTTTTTTTTTTTTTTTTTTTTTTTTTTTCCCATTACAAATAACACTGTAGTAGATGGCCAATGTGTAATCTTTCTACACATGTGCAAGTAAGTCTGTAGAACAGCCCTGGAAATGGCCAAAGGATGTGGACGGTATTTCGTAAGCACAAATCATTTTCAGATCATTTTCTAACTAATAACCAGATAAACTCTAGAAGCTTCCCAACAGGGTTGGGATTGGCTCAACAGGAGACGCACAACAAATATTTGTTAGAAAAATAAACACCGTGAATACGCTTCTCATTTCAGACATGGGCATAAGGCCCAAAAAGGTTAAAGGTTCTGCTCCAGGGAACTTTGAAAGAGCTTCTGACTCATGGCCTTTGTTTGACATTCTGTCTTTTCAATTTCTCCTAGAAACAGATGGCCAACCAATTCAAGCAAGAAAGCTGAATGAAAATGGTTTGGGGGGATTTTACAGAGTGGGTGATTTGGCGATCGTTTTAAAATCCAGGCTAATGGCTTTAAAAAGATAAGCATTTTATAAAGACACCGCATATGCTTTTTCTGTATTACATACACTACGTTCTGCCGGCCTTTCAAATTTTTCAAGTCAGAATTCCCCTCCTCCGACTCATCAATCCTTCCAGGCATTTATGCCCCCTTGGCACAGGGGAAAACCCAGCTCTCTTGTTCAGACTGCTCTATCCCCAGGCAGGTGTTACCTTGGATCCACAACAGACGAGTGCGCGCACAAGACCATCTCTGCTGGCGATGATGTGTGGTCGTAGGCAGGGAAATGGGACAAGCTGAGGAAGCAGACGCTTCCAGATGGAGTCCCAACTTAGCTCAAGGGTGGATATTAGATTGCCTCCATAACTGGGATCAGGGCCGTTTTAGGGTTTGGGGGCCACAGGCCGCCGGAGGTCGGGTCTAGACAGCCCCTCTTCTGGAGCACCATGGTGGGGGGGGGGTAAGAGCGCTGCACTCAAACCCCTACTTTTGCCCTGGGGAGCTCTGGGGCCCTGCAGAGGTGATTTAACCTTTCTGGGCCATGTCTCCTCATCTGCAAACTGGGGAAATAATATCTCCCTCACAAGGCTGCACAGAGAAAAGGAAGAGGAATGGCAATCTCCTGTGGTTCAAGCTAATACATGAAAGCACTTAGTCTGGTGCCTTCTCACACGAGGGCATATTGATGCCTCTTCTCTTGGAGCCTGGGCCACGGGGTGTGGGGTGGCATGCTGGAATGTAGGCATGTCACAGAAAGGCCTGCCATCCTCTGGGCAGTCCATTTTGAACAAAAGTCCGGATTTGTGGGCCTTGAGACTCCTTCCCTGGCTGCTTTCAGGGCAGAACTGTCAGGTTCCTTGGAGGGTTTTTATCAGAGCCTTTGCTTGACGAGGGCAGCCTTTTGAGGTGGAAGGTATCATTGCCTGGGGCTCCTGCAACAGGCCTACTTTTTGGTTTTAGAATCTTAACACGAGTGGGGCGCCCGGGTGGCTCAGTCGGTTAAGCGTCCGACTTCAGCTCCGGTCACGATCTCACAGTCTGTGGGTTCGAGCCCCGCGTCGGGCTCTGTGCTGACAGCTCGGAGCTCGGAGCCCGGAGCCGGCTTCCCATTCTGTGTCTCCCTCTCTCTCTGCCCCTCCCCCGCTCATGTGCTGTCTCTGTCTCTCTCAAAAATAAACATTAAAAAAAAAAAAGAATCTCAACACGAGCTGAAGTAACATAAAAATGCCATCACGAGTGAGGAAATGAAGTCTTTTCTATACTTCAGAAGACATCTGCATCCCTGAGATGTCTGATTTATACAGCTTTCCCCTATTCTCATTTTCATCTGTCTTGCGGGTGATCACGAATCACCGTGCGATTTGGCCCTACTTCCCCGGGGCTTCTCTGAGTGGTTGTGTCTTTCAACACCAGAAAGATTATCTATCTATCCGTCTATGTAAATTTCTTTTTTTTAATTTTTTTTTTCAATGTTTTTATTTATTTTTGGGACAGAGAGAGACAGAGCATGAACGGGGGAGGGGCAGAGAGAGAGGGAGACACAGAATCGGAAACAGGCTCCAGGCTCCGAGCCATCAGCCCAGAGCCTGACGCGGGGCTCGAACTCACGGACCGCGAGATCGTGACCTGGCTGAAGTCGGACGCTTAACCGACTGCGCCACCCAGGCGTCCCCGTCTATGTAAATTTCTAAAGAGGAAATGTATTGTGTTTGGGACCTGACGCTATCACACAGTTCAGAGTTCTGCGGTCTCAATTATTCCGGCTTCACGATTTCACTTTACAGTTAGGTCAAGCCCCAGCTAAGCCGCTGGGATTTACAACCCACAGCTGATTTCCCCTTAGAATGTCCTAGTGGATCCCTCCAAAATCTTGACCCCGTGGTTACAGTGAGCTTAAATCCCTGGTAGTTTCGAGCCTGAGATGTAAGAGGAGAAAGATCTTGGAGGTGACAGAAATCATTTTCCCGTGGACAGTGCTGGATGGTTTCATTTACAGGGTTGGTTCAGCGCTCTTGCTGGCCTAACAGAAAACTCCCGAAGCCAAGGGGCTCCCAGCAGTAAAGACAGTGGTGTGGCCTGGGCAGAAGTAGCTTGTGTCTGTTCCCAGGCCACAGCTAACGTGTACCAGTGTTTCGGAGATCTAGTGGGTCGGCCGAAAGCCAAACTACAGCATCCATACCTTTCAGCATTTTTACAGCCACAGTCCGGCACGTGGGGGATTTCTTAATGCCAAATGCGGACGCTTGAACCACTTTTCCAAAAGCCCCTCTTCCGAGCGACTTGCCTGCAATGAAAAGAAGACATTGATTTGTTTGCGAAGCCAGCAGGATGAGGACAAGTCTTTTTCGGGAAGAAGGTGCCTTTTGACCTACGTGTGTATGTGAGCCGTGTAGCTTTGAATGGAATCTCCAACAAACTGAGCCCAAAAGAGTCAAAGTAAGGGACACACTTCTGGGGTATCTTTCTTCCACCTCCTCACGGGGCTTCTGAGGGGCCGTTATCCTTTGCAGCTAGGCCAGGCCCCTAGGATGCATTTAGTGTGGGTGGGTGACCAATTTCCTCTTCACCAAATCCTCCCGGGGGGGGCGGGGGTCTCTTCCATTGTTTAATGACATTACTACCAAGACCTCCCTTTGTTTAACCTAAGCCCCTTTTCTTGCCTCTGAAGGTCATCTCTTCTGATCTGTTTTCAGCAGAAAGGAAGAAAACAGAGAATGGGGGTGACTGCTATTGGTTATCATAATGCTCCATAGCTACAAAAAAATCACTAAGTCATTTCTCAGACTTTCTTGCCAGCCAAGATATTCTAACACGTCCTTACATGATGTACAGGCCTTCGTGGCTCAGCACACGAGTCTATCAACCAACCACTGGTAGTTAATTGGTTTAAGCTGCAGAGAAATGGTTGCCAAATGCAGTAGAGTAAGGTCGCTTTCGTGGGACCTGTTACGTTATGCCATAACAGCTGTTTTAACACGTTTCTTTCCTCACCCTGAAATGAGACCACTTGACTCAGAGGGGCATCTACCACGTGGGAATCTTCCCAGGACCTAGCTCAGCGCTCGGTGCAGAGGAGGCCCCTTGTGCGTTAATGCAGAATGAAGAGCAGCGATTTGGGAACTTGTGAGATGCTCAAAGCAGTCACGGGTAACTAGAGGAACCCGCCTGTCCCCAATGGGTCAGAGACCGTGAGGGCGATGCTCCGTGAAGAGCGCACACCCCCCCCCCCCCCCCCCCCCCCCCGGAATACCTCAGTCCCCTTTTATATCAGGCCACTTTCTTTTGCACCATCAGGACACAGGTAGCTGAATACAGCCTGGAGAAAAAGTACACCTCAGGCAGGATATGGCAAAAGGAAGAGTGAACCAAAGAAGTCACTCTTGTTTGGTTCTTGGTTAGGGAAAAAATAGCCAACAGAATGCCTCTGGTCAGAAGTAAATCCCGGTAGGGGCGCCTGGGTGGCGCAGTCGGTTAAGCGTCCGACTTCAGCCAGGTCACGATCTCGCGGTCCGTGAGTTCGAGCCCCGCGTCGGGCTCTGGGCTGATGGCTCAGAGCCTGGAGCCTGTTTCCGATTCTGTGTCTCCCTCTCTCTCTGCCCCTCCCCCGTTCATGCTCTGTCTCTCTCTGTCCCAAAAATAAATAAACGTTGAAAAAAAAATTAAAAAAAAAAAAAAAAGAAGTAAATCCCGGTAGGTAGAGTGGTAATTTAACACGACCCCTCCTCCCTCAGCCTAGTCCTCTTTATCTGACTGTTCTGCTAAGGCACCTTGAGTTAACGAACCAACCTTCCGTCCTTATACTCCAATCCCTTCCCCCCAAAAGATACAGCTGCGTGTTATGTTTCTAAGATTCTTGTGAAGTTTGCCTGCTTCCTTATCACATTACAACTTTATACTTTTAGGCACGATGACTCAGTCACATAGGTGACTTCCCCCTGCGCCTCTGCTTAGCGTCTTCCGCTCACTACCAATCCCCCGAGGCCATCTAGTCAGGACACAGGAAAAATTCGTTTGCCAGTGTAATCGGAAGAGGCTCTTTGTCGCTATCTCTTTGCATCTATCTCCTGGGGACAGATAGGAGGGAACATTGGTGACGCGACTTGCTTTTTCTCTGGTCAAAATGCCCCTGGCAGCGACGGGGCAAGGTCATTCCTCCTAGAGTGCCGCACCATGGACAGGGACAGAGTCTCTGCTTCCTCCTTCAGCTAAAATTGTCCATGAAGTAGACCAGGATGGGGACTCTAGGTTGAAATAAAAGTGCCTCGGGTGGACCCTGCAGGACCGGGACGTGGAAATCACGTACAGAATGAGTACCAGCGGCTACCTTCTCCAGACTTGTAAAGATCGGTGTATTTTGGTTAAAGGCTTGCCCCTTGCTGTTTCAGGGCAAAAGAACGTGTTTCTTCCGCAGTGCCTTCTACCGTCTAATAGGAAAAGTGTCCCGAGCCTGACAAATATCAAGATGATCTCTATCTTAGGGACACCTCTCCACGTACCGTGAAGACCCTTGCTGCTTGGGGGGCAGGCAGAACCTTTTTCCCTTCCACGGCCTCAGCCCACACGCGTTCCCTCCTTAGCCATCACAGCACACTTCATTTTCACTGGTGTTTGGGGAGTTTGCTTCTGTCAGTGAGAATAAGCTCGTTCTCACTTGGCTTCCCTCGGCCTTTCCATCTTTTCTCTCGGAAGCCTGACTGCTGCCTCATAAAACAGCATGAAGCTATTACGGGCTCTTTGATCATCTGAGGCCTCGGAATCCTTTGGCGGACCCACTGTTCCAGCTTCAGGGGAGCCAGGCTTGACCTTGCCTGATCCTTCTTTTCCCTTAAAATCCTCCTCGGTGTTACCCAAATGCCACCGACTGGCTTTGAAAGAGCTAGGTCGCTGCCATACAATGAAAGGCTATTGGAACCTCCTCCAAGAATGTCCTTGACCGGCCAGGGCCCCGGGGACACTCCGGGGAGGGTGCAAGGCACCACTGCCACGCAGAGCTGGTCTTCCAAGAGGCAACACCTGCCCAGGCGCCATCCACTTGCAAATTCCAGACTCCTTGTGTTGTGGCCTATATTAGGCAATGCTGACTTTATTTTGCAGTAGAAGATGCATTGTCCGACATTATCCCACCTCCTGTGATAAAATGGTAAGGGCTGAATTCTCCCTGACGTTTAGCGAGGAACCACTAACAAAACAGATTCCTTTTGTTCCTGGATTTCAGGAATTTCAACGAGAGCAGCACTTTTGACCCAAACTCCTACTGCATCTATCAGGTACCATAAATTCCGACTTCTCTCAACAGCGCTGCTAATAGTTACCGACAGAGTCCACAGAGCTGAAAAAAATCAGATGCGACTTGTCTGTGTATTTCCCCACACAGTGTATTCTTCTGTGTGTGTTTATAGCCCCATTATAACTCTGCCCATCAAACCAGCTTTTTCTCTCCATCCATCCAGACAGAATCTTGGTTACTTTCACTTGCCAGACATTACTTCAGATTACTTTCTGTCATGTATTTGGCTTACGAACCAAAAAATCTTGGGCCTTTTGCCCCCATGCGAGTAGGGGGAGCCTCTTCTGGCCCTTGCAGCCACACTCTGCATTGAAAGACACAGTGAGCTGACTTGACACCCTTTCTCTCACCCATCAAAGACACTCCCATCCACATGAGCCAAATCATGACATCTGGCATCTCCAGGAAGGAAGAGATCCATAAGAAAGGTCTTCAGCAAGGAGAATCTCCTGAAACGGGATTATCTAAACCCACAGAGCCCCAGGGGAAATCTGGTGGAAGGATTAGCAGTGTCCCTCAGTGTGATATAGATCACAGGGATAGATACCAGGCGAAGGAGTGAAGAGATGGGATGAACAGCTCATCTGTCCTATACAGGAAGAAGCATGTCTGATGGTGACTAATAACTCTGGAAAGCAACGTGGCCTGAGAATGGCTTACGGTTGTGGGAAAATTATCTCAGTTCCTTGCCAAGGTCACTGAGGGGCTGGGCTAGCTGCCATATAATTTAGACTTGCAGAAGGAACTCATTTATGTACCACCTGCCCTTAACGACTCTAAATTCAGTTGATATTTCCACCCCCCCACCCATCAGCAGCCATTGCTGGCTTTTGCCTGTCTCTCCAGCTTCTTACTGATTTCCAATGTTCTTCCCCAAGCCAAACAGAACATACTCTTGGGGCCAAGTATTCTTTCTCATGTAAGAAGAAACCTAAGTGGAATCATTTCAAGGCCCGAGCTGTGGGGGGAGGGGAGGCAACGCAGTTGAATTTAAAACAACAGGCTCTTTTGCCGAGGGTGACAAGATCCAGGAACACTGGGTCCACGAGTTGGGTTCCTAGTTCCAATTATTAATGATTCTGGCACGCACAGAGCGACTGGAAATTTTTCAGAAGCCACTATCCAAAAATTTTGGGCAAGAGTAATCGCGGCCCCTTTTGTTTTGTACTACTGAGGGCTGGAGATCGATTTGCATTGTGATGTCTGAGCTGGGAGGGGTGGGGGGGACTTGGGGGCGCGCTGAGGGAAAGCACGGTTGCCTGATGTTTACAGCATCTATGTTACCTGGGAAACAACAGCCCGTGCTCTTCAAACCTGAGACGCTAATGACCCCTAGCACTTTCTTCTCTGTCTGGACATCCTGAACACCCAGGAAAACTCAGAGTATCTAATCTGTGGATTTGTGCAGAGGGGTTTTTTGACCCACAGCCTTCAAGGGCACCGACGCGTTCACCAAAGGTTTGGTTGGACTGTTCCTTGCCATCTTGAGTTGTGTTCTAGGTTACAAATTTCTAAGTCCCCCAAAAGGTCATTAAGGGTGCCTGTAGTTGTAAGCTTCCTGATGGAACTCATCTCTGCCCTTCACCTGTCTCCTTTTGTGGCTGCCTCTTTCACCCTCTGAGGCAAGACACTCAGACGCCTTTGCACCCCCGCGGCTTAGACGGGTGTCTGCTGCTCAGAGAAGGTGCTGGGAAAGTGTTCGGAGAAGGAGCAGGTGCCCTGTCCCCTTGTACTGCTGTCCCAGCACTGTTAGGATTATCTACCCCAGTGCCCATCTCCCTTGCTAGTCTGTGAGCAGCTGGAGGGTAGAACCTGAGTCTCGTTGACTTTTGCAGCCCTCAAACCACATGTTTTGCACGTTTAGGAATCTGTTGAACAAACACATTACCCAGTTTGAGTCTCTCCCGGGCAAACTCCCACTTGCTGGCATCATAAGGGAGCCGCTCGCACTGCTCGTCCAGGGGGACTTCGTCTGGGTCCATTATAATCGATAGGTAGTCAGTCTTTATTTCCGAGGAAGACTGAGAAAGAAAGAGATCGCGACGTCACTATCAAGGAAACAACTTACAAAACAAAAACCCGGATGCCCAATTTAAAACAGTACCTGGCAACACCTGCTACTCGTTGAAACCGTGTGGTTGGATACAGAAAGTCCCCCTCTGCATACACACACGCACGTCACACTTGGGTGTGCAACTCCCACTGAACAAGCCCTTACGGTTCTCACGCGGCTTTTCGGTAGACTGGCTTCACCGCGCTGCCCACATAACACGTGCCCAGGTTCTCCAGTGACCTGGGTGCTTGTTCTTAGACAATTATCATATGATAGTCCTTCTCCAAAAAAGCATAAACGTCATTCCAAACGACTGACTGAAAATACCTCTCCATGGCCATTCTGCACAAGCAGGAGCATACGTCACAAGGTGACAAGTGGGATTGAGGCTTTTCAGCATTTGCAAGAATGGCGAAGTGAACCCAGGAGCCCTGGGACAGTTAAGAGGCATATTTCCTGTGAAGTGTTTAAATCTACTCAGAAGTCCTGGCCCCTTGGTTGCTGCAGCTGCCCGGAAAAACTGTAGGGTCCGTCAGTGAGAACACAGTAAGATTTACCTCCAATAAGAAACAGAAGTTGATTATTTCAAAGGCCAAGGGGGTAAATTGGGTCTGAGATTCAAACACAGCCATGTCCTGATCGCGTTTCGCATCAGTAGGACGTCAAACAAGGCAGGTGTCTCCCTTCAGGCCCTTATTTTATCTTGGCAAGGCACATCGAGCCCAGAAAATATCCTTTATTTCAGATCACAGATGAGTGGATTTGCATTTAGTGTCTTAGAGTCATAGCAGTGAGTGTATTGCCTGTTCATTCGGTGTAGAATTGATGATGGCATTTCTGTGGGCAGGACAGAAAGGAAGTATGCTTGCCCACATAAGGTGGGCTTTGATCAGCCTCGCCGAGGAGTCGCATAAACTGCGTTCCAATGAGTTTCGGGCCCGTCCTGCGTTGCCCTTCCCTCAGCAGGACCAGAGTTCAGGAGAGAAGACACCCTCTCCATACACACCATGTCACGCTCGCCCACATTCTTCAGCTCTAACTCACCCTGCCCTGGGCTGTCACAGCTCACCTCATCCATCACTTGCAATCGGTCTCCTACTCACAGGAATTATCACTAAAATGTGTGACAAATCGCTCAAAGCAGAAAGACTGGCCCGGCCTCCACGACGAGGGGAAAACAGAGAAGGATGTGGAGCACATTCGTCACCAGCTACATTTGCCATCGGTGCCAGTCTTGTAGGGGCCAGCCTGTCGGACAATGGTGTGGGTCTGTAAGACTGGAAGGAATACAAACCCCTATCCCAGCGTGCCGGGTGTGCGCTAGAGAAGCCGCTGGAAGAGGTTTTATGAGTACGCTTTTCCATGTCCAGTCGAAACAATCCGACGAGAAACAATCTCCCATCTTCCAAGGGCACAGGACAGCGAGAGCCCAACGAGGGACATCTCACTTTCCGGAGAGCGCGTGGGGAGCTTGGGAGGGGTGTTGAGAGCGAGGCAAGGGGCCGGGCAAAGAGAGACAATCTCCCCATCTGGCACCTATGGAATTTTATGGTTTATCTCAATCAGGCAGGTGAGAGGCAACACCACACAAGTGGTTGAGGAGAGGGGGATCGTAGAACCTTAGTCGGCAAATATTTACTCTTTCGATTGACACTAACACTGAGCAGCTACTAGGTGTTTGGCATGGAGGTTGCACGGCTAAGCACTTTCAGAGGCCAGGCATTGAGGCTGGCGGGCCGGATCTGAGTCACAGATCAACTCCGGACCAGCACATAACCTTGGCAAGTTGCTTAACCCTTCTCAACCTAGTTTCCTTATCTGTGAAATAGTGATAATGACAGTCCTTATCTCCTAGGGCTGTTGTGAATATGATGGGAAATAATCCATGCCAAGCTGTTAGAACAAGGCATGGTATACAGTAAGCATCAATCAACGATCCACATTAGCTGTAATTGTAACACTGGCCTGTTGCAGGGTGGGGATTAAAAGGATAACGTCCAGTCCGTATCAACCAGGAATTCACTTGCGGTTTAGAGAAACCCCATGGAAATAGTTTTTGAGGACTTGTATCTCCTTGCCTCCTACAATTAATCACCTTTCAAATTTTATAAGCATTCCCTTCTGGAGAGAGAATCCTTTCTTGCTCTCATGCTTTCGTATTGAACTCAAGGTTTCAGATTTTTAGAAATACTAGGGCCATCTTCAATTTAGACCCAATTCACCTTTCCGGTTTTATTTCCACTCTGCCCCTCTGTGCTCCTCCCCTAATCTGGGGCGTGGGGAGGAGTGTGGTGGGCTGCATTTTTCTGCTGCTTTCCTTCCAACTGCAACCTTCAAACTCTTTCCCTAGACCTCACTTTCTCTGAAGTTTTTGCTCTCTGTCCCTCCTTTGTGGCCTCCGAACGGGCCTTCCAGATTTGGCGGGTCTAATCTATTTGGCAAGTTTGGTCCATTTCCCTTGATGATGTCTCTCCCCTGTCAATGCCACTGTGTGGCCTCTGTTTCCTTCTAAAGCAGTGTGGCCTTAGCTGTCACATCTCAAAACCCATCATTCCACACGGCGGACTCCTGATGGTGCCTATTCACCACGGAGGACACCTGCTATCCTTGCCTCTCATTTCAACGGCTATGAAGGACACCTTGTTGGTTTTGGTTACAAGTCTAGGTAAGGTCGGACGACCTTGGTTCAAAACTCAGCTCCCACTCTAACCAGCGTTGTGACTTTGGACAAGTTATTTTACCTCTCTGAGGCTCACTTTCTCTCTCTATAAAACGGGAATAATAGTATGTCTTACCTCTTTGCATTTTTTGGAAGAATTACCGGAGACACCACATAAAAAAGCCTGTCCTAAGACATGACACGATAATAAGGGCTGATAAGTCTCTAGCAAGTCTCTAGCAATGGAGGAGGCCTCCTTGATGCTTTTCAAGTTCTGTTTTACCTGCGAAATAGCTCTGGATCCTAATCACTTGGACGAAGCTCATATCATTTCTTAGTTGGACTCCTATAAAGTCTTCGGCGAAAGTTCCTCTCTACTCACTCTTGCCTTCTCTGGTCCATTCTCACAGCAGCCAAAATTCTCTTTCCAGACGCAAATCTCTTACACTTAGGATTGCCTGCCTTTGTTGAACAACACCCCTCCCCGCCCTCGCCCTCACGCCCCCCAGGCTTCCTTTTACTTCCAGAATACAGACTACCTTTCTTACTGTCTCACCCGGCTTTACAGCCCCTTGCCCCTCCTCTCCGGCCTCACCTCCTACCCGGTTCCCATGCTGCAGCCACGCTGGCCTCCGTGAGTCTCTCTTTCCCGCGGGGTCCCGGCCCTGCCCCGGCCTCTCACAGGCTCTTCTGTCTGCCTGCAACACTCTTCCGTCCCTTCTCTGCCTGACCACCCCCTTACACATCTTTCAGTCCGCTGCCTCTAACGGCAGTCTCACATTTGTCTGTGAAACGGAGTAAAGCCAGTCTCCTCTCCAGTAAATATTTGAGGCACGGATGGGTGAAGGACTGTTGGCTCCTTAGCCCACAGAACTTCAGAGAAGCACGTGGTGCTGCAGGCTCAATGACAGAAATCTGACGTCCCGCGTTCCAGCCTGACCCTCCCACTGAAGAACTGAGTTGTATGGTGGGGCTCCGAGAGCTCGGAACCACAGTGCACTTGTTGGTAATTCTACAATGTGAGGAGAGGCAAGTCGGAGGACAGTCTTTATTTTGCATTCGCCTTTGCACGTCTTAGCAGAGAATAAGGAAATAAAGACTGCGCAGGTCTCGTGTTGAATTTAAAGGTTTTAGCACACATTTTTATACCAACGGTGTCCCCTCTGTTCCTGGGAAACAGTCATCTATTCACTGCTCGAGCTTTTTCTCTCGATACTACGGGTGACGGTCGAGAGGCATTTTAACGATTCATTCCGGGTGTTCCCCAGGTCAGAGAGCGAAAGAAGAGGGAAGAGGACTAGAGGCTAACGCGTGTTTAGGGCCGGGTCTAGATGCGAGACGAGCGTTTTAGAGTTTTACGTAAACAGGAGCGTAGAACTTCATGCGAACCGTTCTTACCCTTTTCAGTTTGCGGATAAAGAGCGTTAACAGGAGCCAGAAGAGGGTTGCGGCCACACAGGTGCACGTCAGAGTGATTAGCTCCAGGTTAGACTTGTCCGAGGTTCCTGGAGGGAGGAAAACAAGACGGTCCTCAACAAGCACCATCAAACTGAGGGTCTTTGTGATTCTACAGAACAGGTCCAAATGCCCCTAAATGGTTCGCCATGGCGCATGCAGCCTGGCGGCTCAAGGGTTGGTCTCTGGGACGGGTCTCCCCTCACTGGTCTCGAGTCCAGCAGGGCGCATGATATTTCACCATCCTAAGCTCACGCAGAAATTAAAGGGAGTTTCAGAAATTCTGGGGCTGAGCTCGCAAACGTCGTAATCCCAGAAATAGCTACTTCAAAATCCGAGGAGAAATTAAAGAACGGTTTTTTTTAATGTTTATGTTTGAGAGACACAGAATGCGAACGGGAGAGACACAGGAGAGAGAGGGAGACACAGAATCCGAAGCGGGCTCCAGGCTCCGAGCTGTCAGCACAGAGCCCGACGCGGGGCTCGAACCCACAAGCTGTGAGATCATGACCTGAGCCAGAGTCAGACGCTCAACCGACTGAGCCACCCAGGCGCCCCCCGAGGAGAAATTTTTAAGAAGGAAAAAAATTAAGGCGGGAACAAAAGCCCATTAAAGTGCTAAATCTGGAATATGTGAGCTCTTCCTCATGAGTTTTAGAGGAAATTCTAAAGAAAAATACCTAAGAATAAAAACGACACAAAAGGCCTCCTCTGGGACTCACAAAATTCTTCTACTTTGATTTGAAAAATAAAAATAAAACTCAAGGACCATCACCATTGCCTGCTCGCTCCTTTTGGAACAGCCGGCCAACTGGCCCACCTCCTGCTCCTTGCTTCTGGCTCTGTCTCTGACCTTCGAGACAGCAGCCAGCCTGCAGGGGCTGCAACAAGAAGGGGGTTCTTCCCAAGCACCTCATTTCCCGGAATCACGCAGAGATCTAAAGCTGAGCAGTTCCTCCAGCACCAGACGAGAAAAGACCCAAAGTGTTCAAGAGAAGCCTCCAGAGAGGAAGGTCTTTGGGATCTGTAAAGGAATGCCCCAGTGGGGCCAGAACAGGGGTCCCCTACTTACTGGTTCCAGGGGACAATTTCCCATGAATTTCAAAGGACTGCCTTTGAACCTCATTACAAGGAGGCAGAGGCTTAGTATTAAGCTAGGGAAGAACAAATGGAACTCACTCTTTTTAGAAACAATGATGTGACTGGTATCATTTTTTTTTTTTTTTTTTTTTTTTAACGTTTATTTATTTTTGAGACGGAGAGAGACAGAGCATGAACGGGGGAGGGGCAGAGAGAGAGGGAGACACAGAATCGGAAACAGGCTCCAGGCTCTGAACCGGCAGCACAGAGCCCGACGCGGGGCTCGAACTCACGGACCGCGAGATCGTGACCTGGCTGAAGTCGGACGCTTAACCGACTGCGCCACCCAGGCGCCCCTGGTATCATTTTTTTAAGTTTATGTATTTAATTTGAGAGACACAGAGACAGTGCCAGCGGGGGAGGGGCAGAGAGAGGGAGAGAGAGAATCCCAAGCAGGCTCCACACTGTCCGCACAGAGCCTGAGGGGGGGCCCGAACTCACAAACCGCGAGATCCTATGACCTGAGCCGAAACCAAGAGTCGGATGCTTAACCGACTGAGCCACCCAGGCGCCCCAATGAATGGTATCATTTATTGAGCACCTACTATATGCCAAGCCCTTACAACCACCCTGAGGAGTAGGTAGCAATAATATCCTTGTTTCCTAGATGAGGGATTCATCATGTGGGCTCTTTGTTTCGATTCAACAAGGAGGTCCTGAATCCTACTGGAGGCGACATTCCATCTGGAGGCAACGGGAAGGTGAGCAAGAGAAAGGTGTCACTCTCCCGGAGCTCATCACTCGCAACCCAACCAAGACTTAGGGCCAATACAGGGGCGCCTGGGTGGCTCAGTCGGTCAAGCATCCGACTTCGGCTCAGGTCACGATCTCGTGGTTCGTGAGTTCGAGCCCCGCGTCGGGCTCTGGGCTGACAGCTCGGAGCCTGGAGCCTGTTTCGGACTCTGTGTCTCCCTCTCTCTCTCTGCCCCTCCCCCGTTCACGCTCTGTCTCTCTCTGTCTCAAAAATAAATAAACGTTAAAAAAAAAAAAAAGACTTAAGGCCAATACGAAGACACGGAGTAAGAGTTTCAAGGGTGGAGGAAATCTAGTGCTCTTTGGAAGAGGCGACATTGAAGTGGGTGGTGGCCCACGGAGACGAGGCGGGGAGGGCCTACAGGCAGAGGGGCTGGCATGAGTGGAGACCCAAAACTGGGACATGAGGGGGCAGAGCAGGCAGCATAAGGCAAGGACAGGTCAGGACCAGCCCGCAGAGAGTTCGAGCGTCGGCGTGCAGGGTTTAAACTACAAGCCGCATGCAGGCAGCTAGAGCCGGTGAAATATCTGTGAAGAACAGAAAACACACGAGCTAGAAACCCGAGCCGTTTCCTTCTCCCCTCTTATCCACCCAGCCACCGAGCACATGCACTTCCTGCCACAGTCCCCGCTGGGCAAACCTTTAAGTCTAGAGGGGAAATCCACATTCTCTCCCCGTCCAGGCCAACACAAAGTCCTGCTGGCTCTCCTCCCGTGGCTCAGGAAATTGTCACCTCCTGTCCTGCCCCGCTATCACTGCCTACATCGAGGCCCCGCCAGCTGTCACCTGGACCGCAGCACTGGCTTCCTGACCAGGCTCTCCTCCACTCTGGGCCAGCGTGATCTCACCTCTGTGTAAATTCCATCACCACCACCTCTGCTCCCCACAGCCGTGGGGATAAAAATCCACATCCCTGGGTCCTTCGTGCCCAACCCCGCCTATCTCTTCAGCTTCGTCCCCTGCCGCTCTCCCACTTGCTCCGATCACATCAAAACATTTGTAGGTTCTCACACCTCCCAGCCCTTTCTGCACCTCCGCGCTTCGGCACTCTGTTTCTCTACCAGAACGGCGGCTTCTGGGGGCTGCGGCCACCTCCTCGTCGTCTTTATACGCACCCCCCCCATCGGACTGGGTGAGCGAGGAGATAAATTATGATTGGCTTTGAGTCCAAAGCGTCTCATGAAGCTTTCAGAGGGTTCAAGGTCAAATTCCTGTTCATGCGTATTAATCCAAGAAACCCACGGAACACCACCTACGTGGCACTCTCTGTTCTAGATACTAGTACGTGGTGGTGGATGAAAGGCATGGATGGTCTAGAGCTCACAGTCTGAACAGATAAATACGTTCAACGTTCCGAGCGGAGGAGCAGAGGGTAGGACCGGGGTTCTCTCGTTCGCTGCTATGTCTCTGGTGTTTAGAAGGGGGCCTGGCCCCCAGTAGACATCCTGAGAATACTGGGTGAATGCAAGAATGAGTTTGGCTCAACGACGCCAAGCTTTGTTGGCCTGTGGCTAAGTTTCCCCGAACCTCATGAGAATGAGAACAGCCTCCTTGAAGAAGTTTCAAAGTATGATAAGCTTTTCTCTTCGTACGCAGCCTCTCGATGGGAATATTGTAAGCTCGAGTTAATAGGAGTTTGGATTTCCTCCCCCATGTGAAAGGTCGAATGCTGCCTTGCTGTATTCACACGCACACACACACACACACACACACACACACACACACACACACAGCCTGAGACCTGCTCAGGCCTCAGTGGCCTTTGGCTGTTGGAGATGCTGATAGCATCTTGAGACACAGTACTGTCCGCCTAAAAGCTCTGCAGATGCCTCCTGCTTGGAATGCCCTGGGAGAGGCCCCCTCCCACTGTGGGAACTTTCCCACTGCATTCCACGGGGCAGGAAGTTGACCCCCAAAGCAATTCCACAGCCCTTACTCAGGCAAAATTCCTTTCAGTGGGACCCAATGTGCTCGGGTGCATTTACACATTTCAAGAACCAACTCATTAAAAAACATCCTCAAGATGAACACTTATTACAGGAGAAAGGTCTATTTAACATTCTATGACTGCTTACTGAAAACCAAGAATTTAACCAGATACGATGTAGTATCTGTGCTCGATCTCTGTCGCTCTTGATAGCTCAATCTCAGGCTGTGTTTGCAAAGTAACCATTAGGAGAGCCTTAGGTTGAGTAGACAGACTTCAAGTCAGCATCATCCCTTCCTATACAGCTCTTGGATATTTTCTCAGAGGTCAAACATCCACACGCTGGCCTGGCGGGACCCAGCTTCAACTTGCTGGTGACAGCTGATGAGCTCAGCCCATGAAACGGCCCAGCTGTACATGGCAGGGGAAAGGAGGCCAGAGGAAACGTGGGTGGGATTTGACAACAACTAGGAGTTAGCACTGGGTCTCAGGGACGTTCCTGTCACATGGGGTGTGTGAAAGCCAGCATCAGGGCACGCTGCGAGCTTGTTTTACATGGGATATTGACAAGAATGGGGCCAATCTGAAGAGTTAGGAAGACGGCACTTCTAGCTTACAGACTCCGCTAACCCTGGGGCACAGAGTGTTCCATGTCAGTTACCTTTCAAGCTTCAGACCATCCCTCTCGGGACAGGAAGGGGGGACGCCAGCCAGGGGATGCACTGGTTCCTGGGGGGTGAGGTACCTCGTCCAGAGGCTGTGCGCCTGCTGAGTCCCGCTGCCTTGCCCTGCGCCTTTCTGATGGTGGCGGCTGTTCACGCTGCACGGGGCCGTGACTTTGTCTTGTGGCGGTGTCACGCCGACCCTGACACGTGGCACGGTGTGGTGCCAGGCTGCCGGAATCAACAGGCAGCAGGGCCAGGGCACTCGACTCGCACCACAGCGAGCACCGGTGGTCCTTCCCAGGAGGTTAGCCGAACTCCCTAAGCAGAAGACCAGGGCCTCCGGCTCAGGGACCTGCCTTGACTTGAGACAGGACAAGTTCTACCTGGAAAGGGCAGGAAGCAAGCAGCTATGTCTTCGACCCAGGACCCTAGGCCCCGGCTTGCTCGTCCTTCAAATGCGGGGTCACAACAGGACCCTGGCTCACAGGTGAAATGTATGAACCTAGTAGGGGCTATTTTTTTTTTAACGTTTATTTATTTTGAGAGCGAGAGAGAATCCCAAGC